GCGCCGCTCTGCCTGGGGCCCCACCAGAGGTTCTGACGGCCGTAACTGCTGGTAGAATAGGCAGGTAGTATTATCGGCAAAGACAAGGAGACTGGAATGGCCATTTCTAGCTCATTAGTCATCGTCAGCCAGACTCAAGTGATGTCCCAGCCTAGCCTCGAACTCACAACCTGGCTGATTAGAGTCAAACGTCCTAACCACCGAGCCATGAGCTCGTTATCGCGCCAAGTTACGTCAGGGAATATTGAAACTTATTGAGAAAGGTTCACCTGACCACTAACGGAAGTCACCCGTACCAGACGAAAATGTGCGGACTAGATGGAACCAATCGGTAGAGCCTGTCGGGACGTTGGACACATCCAGTGTAGCTGCGTACGACCATTTGCATGACAGCGCATTTGTCTGCCGAGAGTGACCTGCCCCACTAGCGAAGAACTACGACACCACAACTTCCCCCCATCACACAAGACGACAAACAACTCAGTATATTAAGATGCGGTATTTTACTTTGCATAAAAAATAGTGAAATAACTTGTAGAAAAATATTGCAGGAAACAGGGAAATAGCGAGTTTGACTCAGCATGTAGGCACGTGGACAACACGGTTTTGTAGATAGAAGCGAGCAGGCGAGTTCCAGGAAGCAGTTCATATCACTGGAACATGGTGCTTATTAACACGCGTTTCGAAAACTCTGGAAAAAGATGTAGAGGTTCCGTTCCCCTGTCATCCAACATTGGCGGAAGCGATGCAGGACGCTGCGAATAACTACAGGTAACATTAATGGGGAGAAATCCTAATTACCTCTTTGGCTTGTTTCCTGCGCTCCAAATGGCAGCCATACTTGTTCCGGTCTCTGTGAGAAACAATGCGGTCCAACCTGGGAGCGCGCTGCCATATCTGCAGTTACAGAGTAATGCATCACGCTGAACGGCGTCTAAGAATGATTATTACGAAATATGACCTACCACGGAATACGTGGGACAGATGGCAGTTGACAGACCGCTTTCTAGCGGATCTCGTTCAGGAGGGTGGCAGGGCCACCACCCTGGCCATTACCTGCACCTGTCTTCTTCCACATGTGTAGGTCAGGCATTCGAACAATCCAATTAGATAGATATGGTTGTGGAGGCGGTCCTTAATCAAGTGGACCCCACCGACAGGACAGGCTTGCTCCACAGAGTGGCACATCCGTGCGTTGCAGCATTTGCGAGCGCAGATAGACAGGAGGGATCTTCGGACAGGTCAGCTTTGTCGGGAATTTGCGCCGCTCATACATTAAACTCTGAGGTCATGTAATTGATAGTCACCAAAAGCTTTTGTGCGGTTGGAAACGGCTATCATGAGCGCAGTTTCGGCGAAAATACTGTTCGGTGACTGGAAGATGCCACTCTGCAGTCACAGTCCACGAACACAGGGCTGTCAAAGTCGAGTGTATTTACGGACCGTGTGTCACTTACGGTCTGTTTGCTAACTCTACATCGATCTCATAGTCAACGGAAGCAACTCAGTGCGCCATACAAGCTACGTTGGCGGTTTCAGCGACAGTAAAGATAATTACCATGACAGCGGCGTTACAGTACCCATAGAAAGCTGCCCAGTGGTAATAATGGTAGGGTGAGCACCGTGTCGGCCTGGAGGCCAACAAACACATCGGTAGCGGCAAATTCAACATAGCGCCGTTCCACCACAAGGCATGCACTGCTCCTTCAATAACTCAATGTGCAACAGCCTGGCCGGCCTTACGGATGACACACCCTTTGACACCCTGTGTTATCGACTATCTAACCGAATCGCCAATACTAATTCCTTACGCGATGCATTACAACATCTTAATTCCCGGAAGCTTCGCCAGGCCGAGTCAATCACCAACCTGGTTTATGACATCAAGCGCCTAACCACCGCCGCCTTTCTGACGATCGATGGGGCCAACAACGAAAACCCTGTCATACGGAGACGCTCCCGGACCCTGAATTAGGCCGGTCCTTAGTGCTACTGTAAGTTATCCCCATTTTGTTTTAATTGATGTATATACTTTGAAACCACTTAGGTTTTGTTTTTCTGTTTTCCGGTTTCGATTGGACTGGAAGGAGCGTGCGCGAGAAGATACAGCAGAGAGTAACACATCCCTGCGGAAGAACGCAGTCAATTGCTTTTACGCCATCTGGGCATTAAGCAACTACGCCAAGTACTTAACGCCGGCGTACGCAGTAGCACACCCTACAAGGATCGCTGCGAGGGGTTTCGCCGACTGTTCTCGCTCAAACCTTGAATAGGGCATCGAATCGCAAAATTCCTCAACCGCTGCCAGCAGCCAGGGGTGTCTACCCAGGCAATTCGCGTCAGACATTCTGCAACTCTGTTTCAACGCATACCGTTCTCTGAAAGCATCCGATGCTGAAGATGTACCTCTTTACCATTTCATAAAAGGGCTTTCTTCTCGGACCCTTTCGGACAACCTGATGCTTCAACCCCCTCTCCTGCTTGAAGAGGCCGTTGATCGTGCTGACCGTTTCCTCTCCCTGGAACTCAGCCGGCCTCGTCCTTCATTGCAGTGGACGCCACGACCTTACCGGCCGTCGTTCCGCAACAGCTCCGGCTTTCCCCCACGTTATTTTCTTTACCTACCACATATTTGTTGTGATGTCTGGAAAAGCCGCGGATATGTCTGGTATGCGTTTGAAAATTGATCGTATTATGGAGTAAATATCTGTGTTGTCGTCTGCAGGAAACCGTCAGTATTTAGACCAAAGTCTTTTGACAATTGCAAACAAATTTTCGATTGGATTTATGTCAAGGCTGTTGGTTGGAATAAAAATAGTTTGAAGACCGCACGCAAAGAGGCTGGCTGTAGTCTAAAAAATTATATTACACTTGTAAATGTGATCAAATTCATACCTCCTTTGAACGGTGGAGTGGAGCGTTATCGTATAAAATAATTGTGTTCATTTTGCACCGATTGATGCCGTTGTAACAGAAAGCATCTTTAACGATGTTTATGAACACCCTGCTGTAAATGCTGTCCACAATGGACCGCCAAATTGGTCGCTCGCCGAACTTAATGGCCATCCAAACCATTAATTTTCGGCAGTTCTTGAATGTTACTGTCGGCGCAGTATGTTCCTTCGGAAAGTTCTTTCCGCATATGACAGCCTGCGTCCCCTTAACAGGTTTATCTAAAAATAAGACCTCATCACAGAAGTAAGTACTCTTCCGGAATAAGGGCTGGTATTCAGTATACTTTTTTAGCAAAAACGTTCTCTAATAAGTCTTCTACTTGAAAACGCACAAACAAGAAGCTTTTCTCCGCAGCGCTTAATAGCATAGGAAGTTCCTTGGATATCAACAAGCGTTGGCTTTCGTCCATTTCCGCCTCTATTTTCTCCC